GTTATGACTAGTTAGAGTTCTATATGGCTCATTTACCTGTATATCAGGTTCTGTTTCCATGCTTGGGAAATTTTCTGCTATTATTTCTGCAAATATTCCTTTTATGTCATTTGTGTTGCCTCATGCTGTTTCATTGACTTCTATCAGTTGTACATTATACCTCTTTGTCTCATCTTGCAGCTGCTGAATTGATTTTTCCTGGTTCCTTGTTGATTTTAAGAGATTCTTTCTTTCATGATTGCTAGCTGCCATGCTGTCTTCAAGATCTGAAATGCTATCGTCAGCTTCATTCAAGCAGTTTTGCCAACTTCCAATGGAAGCTTTGATTTCCTGATTGTCTCTTTGAATCTGGTTCATGCGTACTAATTCATTCCTATATTTTTCATTTAATGTTTCTGTCTGTTGCCTGTCTTCATCTATTTTTTTTATGTTTCTTCTTTAGATGTGCTGAGAAATTCTTTCATTAATATTGTCACTTCATTTTTTGCTTGAGAGATTATTTCTGATCTGATCTCTTCTATAGCCTGATGGAGTTGTTTCTTTACTTCCATTGCAATCATTTCAGCAATTTCAGGTGTGTGCTAACCAAATTCACCTATGTCAATGTCTCCTGGACTTGTTTTGAGTGTGGTGGAGTTCTGAGATTGTGTTTTAGTCTTTCATCTTGTCATGTTTGATACCAAATGCAGAACGCTTAGTCTCCCTCTTCCCTGACAGCTCAGACAAGGTTGCTAGTGTCTCTAGTTTTGTTTGCGGTCAGGCTTGCCCATCAGTATCCGCTGAGATGTACTGCTTAGTCTAGGATTTTCCAGCAGATGTGAAGTGCATCTAGTTCTCCCAGGTCTCAGACACGAACTGTGATGTCAGCTGATGGCAGACCATCTGATCCAGCATCCCCTAGCAGCTCAGGGTACGTGTATGACCCAGAATTGGGTTGCACTGGTGGCTCAATCCCAGACCAGTGGTCCCGTGTCCCCAGGCAGTTTGGGGTACAGGCAAAACCCAGACATGAACTGCAGGGTCAACAATTTGTGAGCTACCTGATTCTGTGTTTCCAGGTAGTTTAGGACACGCACAGGAGCTAGACTTGGTCTATACTGGTCATGATCACATACTGCCTGTGTCTGTGACCTCCAGGAGGTCAGGGTACAAGTAAAGCCTGGACCTGAACCGTGGTGCCAGCAGCTCATGGAGCACCTGCTCTAGTGCCTCACTCTGCACAGGGCACATGCAGGGAGGGCCCACAGGCAAACCCCAGTGATAGCAATTTGCAGGCCTTCTGAGTGAGGATCTTCTGTCTGCACTGGGCACATGGAGAGTGGAGACTCAGCAAGTCAGTGTATCTCAAACACCTTCTCAGCCAAGAATGTCACCACATTCAACCACAATTCACATTTCACAAGTTCTACCATATTCTCTAGACTTCCTAAAATTAAAACCACACACGAGAACATTCTCAAAGGCTTACAAGGAGATGGGCAGACAGTATGAAAGGGATAAGGAAACTGTTAAATGTTCCAAATTTTCCTGCCTTTGATCCTCTACACAAGCTGTTCCTTCAGCGTAGAATTCTGTTTTTTCTTCCATCAAGAATGGGTTTTCTAGTTGATCAGGGTTTTACTGTATCTTTAAAAATACTTTTCAGAATTCAGGCATAAAAAAAAGAAGAGATGGTTGTACAACTTGCCTGTATAGAGAATACGGCTGATCATTCCAGGCATTACCATGAAGAACAAGGGCAACAATTTTAAATATCCACACATAATGCAGGCCGCCTTCACATGAGACATGTCTTTGCCAGATAAGCAACGCTGTACAATAACCTAGTGGGAAAATATGACAGATGAGTGAAACAACCAGAATGTCGTATCAGGATTAATGTTACAATAAGAAATAATGTCTTGGTTAATGGGAAACAATGGGCTTTGGAGTAATAACAGTATTTGAATTACTACTTCCTTTGTGTAGTATTTGATCTCTGTGAGTCTCAGGTTTCTCATTTTCCCAGTAGTTATGTCTTGCAGGTGGATTCTGAATATTTGGTAATGTGTGTAGGACTCTTTATTCATGGAAGTCAATACATATAGTTACAATTAAAATATACTTACAGCTGTCAGGCTGCAGTGAAAAAATGACAGTATGCTTCTCCAGGCCTGTCACAGCTGACTCACTGGATAATCAGACCAGTTGCTTTATTTTTTTCTTTTTTATTTTTTTGGTACCAGCAATCAAACTCAGGACCTTGCACTTGCCATGCAGGTGCTTGTACCACTGGGCTATGTCCCCAGCCCAAGACCAGTTGCTTGTTGCTTTGAAAACACCACAGTTGTGCTGCCATCAGAATAGACAGATCACTGAGATATTAATCTACATTTCTTCAAGATATTCTGAGAATTTCATCTGTTTATGATTAAAATATGGTACCACTGGGGAACAGAATATATACATATATGTATATATGTGTGTGTGTGTATATATATATAATTTTATAATTCCTGCTCAAACTATGAAATCTTTTAACCAGAATTTTCTGTGTGTGTATATATATATAATTTTATAATTCCTGCTCAAACTATGAAATCTTTTAACCAGAATTTTCTGGCAAAATAGGATTTCTAATGCACTGCCATACCTTCTTATTTTTATTCTGAAGGATTGTCAGAAAATAGGGGTGTATTTTTTTGCTTAGCTGTCTTTGGAAAAGCAATTATGATTCAATCATATCATTCAATACTGGGGAAGCAGGAAGTATTTCTAGGCAGAGGGACAGAAGCAGACATTTGGAAGGATAACACAAATCACAGGTGAAGAAGGGAGTCCAGTCGGTAGATAAGCAAAGTTGTGTATCAGATCTAATAGTGACCATAAGGGCCTTTACAGGAAGCAAGTCAGGGACTCAGAAATAAAATATAAATAATAGATAATAAGTAAAGTTTCATTATGGTGAAATCATGTATTCTTTGGTACATTTGTTGAGAAAACCAGTTTATTATCTATAGAAAAATAAAACTGTGTCCAGTGATTTAAGATTCACTGAAAATATGAAATTATTAGCTTGAAGTTGGTGGAAATTATTTGGGCAGAGGAAATATTCAAATGAAACAAAGAAAAAGACAGTCTAGATGCTACAAAAAGGAATACACAGAAAACAAGAGGTCTTTGAAGATATAAAAACAAAGGCAAAAAATTATAAGAGATAGTTCAGGAGGTCTACTAGAAAGTAGAGAAAAGAGATGAAGAGATGGGGAATGGGAAGAAAAGATAAGCAAATAAGAGAATCTCAGCCAGGGATTTAGCTCAGTGGTGCCATGCCTGCCTGGCAAGTGTGAAGTTCAGAGTTCAATACCTGGCACCACCCCCCAAAATCAAGCCAAACCAAACCAAACCAAGAATCAGCTGCAGAAAACCAACACCTCAAAATGCAAGGCTCCCAGAGTAAAACAAATGGACGCAATTAAAGAATCCCCCAAACTACTCAAAACATCAGTTTTCAGATTCAACAGGCTCATAGTTGCCCATTATAATGCACAAAAATGTATCTGCAGAATAGTACATTGTGGTGAAATTTCTTTGCCCAAGGACAAAGAGAGTATAAACTGCCAGAGAGAAAAAGGAGTAGAATCTATAGGATCAACAATAATTTTGGGTTTCTTGACATTAATAGCAATACAAAAGACAATGAGTCTATGACTTCATGAAAATAAATTCTGAGAAGAATATAAATGGCCAAATTAACAATTAAGGAAAGTTAAAAATAAGGTCATTTTCAAACATGCAGATTCACAATAAATTTATCTCCTATGAAGTCTATCAGAAAGCTACTGGAAGACTTAATTGCTCTTAATGAAGAAATAAAATGACATGGGATACTAGAAAAAAGGAGATGTAACTCCAGAGTGAGGCAAAACAAAACAAAACAAAACAAAACAAAACAAAACAAAACAAAACAAAAACAACCCACCACAGAGTGAGGGAGTCTTGGATGAGAAGCCAAAGGCTCTGTGAATGGCAAATGGCAATGTGTGGAATGTATGACGTGTTTGTAAGTATTGAGAGACTTTGGCAATTTTCAGAGCTATTGGAGCTTAGTGAGAAAGAATTACCAAACAATATTAAAATGAAAAATTAGTAATGTCATGCAAAAATGAAAGTTAAAGGAAGATCAGTCCTAAATGTCACACAGCTCATCTATGACTTACGCTCATGCAGGTACGGAAGTGGTAGCAAATGCTGTTCTCTCCAAAATGGTGATTGCATCAAGATGGAGGAACAGGAAATGTATTTGTGTGAGATTGAGGGTTGGAAATTGAAAGAACTGAACTCTCATCATGGGGATCTTAAGAAATCTTAAATTTGGAAAACCAAATGGAGCAGTACAATGAGTTATTTGAATCCTCGTGGGAGCAAACTCACAAGCAAGTTCTGACCTGAGAGTGTTTATGCTACTGAGGTCCATATGACGGCTTCTAGATCACACTTTGAGTACTGTATATGAATTCAGAGAATAGAATAAATCCAAAGTGCTTCAAGGAGCTGAAAGTATTTGCCTCTGACAAACAAGGAATTACATACACAGTGGGGCAGTAGGCAGCTGTTTTTCATAAGAGCCTTAAAGAAGTGTTTGAATATTTAAATGATGTTTGCGTAGCAAATAGAAACTAGATGCTTTTCTAGTCTATGAGTAAGAACAACATAAATTCCCCTTCCTTCCCTTCTTCCCACCCCCTTCACCTGATCCGTGCACCAGTACCACAGAGCTGTGATGGGTATTCCAAATATTATTCCCGGCCATGGAATATCTCCGGTGACAGCATCTCGGAAGAAGTGGAAGGAGTCTGCCTGAGGAGTGTAGCACCTGGGGCTGATGGTCAGATTGTCCCCCTCAGTTACAGATGGGATGGCATTCATGTACTTCTCTGTAAAGCTTTCATAGCCCCCAACTTCAACAAATGCTGAAAATGCATCAGATAAAGTGAAACATCTTACAGAAATCTAAGACATCTGATGTTTACAATTACTTCTTTGTGGTGGCGGCTCACAAGCACCTCCCAGGAGCCTGTTCAAATCCTTAGTACTGCCTCCCACAATCCACGTCTTCCTAGTATCTTCACTAGAGCTGGCATGCTACTGGATTAAGTTTCACAAAGTACATAGGGCAACACCTATAACTTTTCTTTTTATGGTGCTCTTTAAAATTTTGATTCAGTGTTTTGTCTTATGATAAAAATAAAACTTGTAGCCAATAGACTGATATCAATGTCTCACAGCCATCCTGATGCTGAACTAACAGAGTGGCTTTTTTTTTTAATTTTAAAGATAAAAGGAGGGAAACATTAACAGACATACAACATTTTACAACATCACAAGCACAGTACAGACAATACAGAGTTACAAACAAAGTGGTAGGGAATTAACAATGGTGGTTGTATTCCATATTGATATCTTCAAAGTGGCTTCTCATGAAAACAGATATAAACATGCAATACTGGTCAACCAAAGACTCATTGACAGTTTCTTTCAGCACAGAGTGGCTTTATTGGGATTTGCCATCAGAAATTCCATCTTCTCGGAGGAAAGATGGCCTCTCTTCCCGACTCAGACAGAGCCTGGCTCTTCTGATCTTGGTCAGAATCCAGTGTTATGGAGCTGCACTGTATTTTAACAATGTTATAGCAAACTAATTGGAAAACTAAGGAAAAGAAATTGGAGGTAGCATGTTAGATCTAATGAAGGAACTTAATGAGACTGTGCCCACTAGGGGTCTGGAATGGTTAGTTAAGTATAGAAAAAATTATAGATTACCTTAGAAAAATGAACCTAGGCATCTGGGACCACGTAGTGTAGGTTTAAATGATGCCAATCTCATCAGAATATTATATCATTATGGAGTTGAGTTGACATTCTTTTCCTTCTTTTTTATTAATTAAGTGCCTACTATATTCCAAACATTATGCTAGGATCATGTGCAAAGTGAACGTGCAAGGCAGGAACTCAGCCCAGTGGAGGATATAGGCAATACAAGGAAATTGTTTTTATTAGGTACATATAGTTTGTAACAAGAATACATGGAAAGCTGGGTGTGATGCCACATGGCTATAATCCCAGCACTCTGGAGGCTGAGACAGGAGGATTGCTGCAAGTTTGAGGCCAGTCTGGAATACATAATGTGTTCAAAGCCAGCCTGAACTACATATCAAAACCCTGTTTCAAAAAAATACATGAAGATAAGAAAATCTTCCTCCTCATTCTAAAGATAGAAGAAGTGAAATTTACACTGAGAAAGTATACCCCTGAGTTCAGAAACCAAAAAGCACTGAACAGAAATATCAGTATGTTCTGGATAATTAATATAATGTACATGGGGAACTGGTTCTAGCAGTTGTCTTTAGAGTTAGCGCTATGAAATAGAAACTTTCTGCAATATGGGACTGTTGAAACTTAAACTGTCAAATATAGCAGTCTATATCCTTCTGCTGGACAATTTAGGTATGTCTAGTCAAGTGAATTAAGTTTAATAGCCATCCGTAGCTAACTACATCCCCATTGAGATACCCAACTGTCATTGTATATTTGCAGTTTCTTTAGTTTTCTGCCTCATATATCTTCAAGCTCTGTGATCAGGTGAATGCATAGTTAAATTGTTTTGTTTAATGCAGTTCACATGGATGGAGCATGGTTGTCACAGGATGGGGGAGAGACATTTATTTTCACCTTATATCTTCTTCACTGTGGGCATGGATTATCCATACAAAGATAAAGAAATAGTGTACTAAAAGACAATGAAAATTTGCAAGCTGTTAACTAGATTCATCAGTACTGGCTTGCTGGCATGACTTAAGACAATGAACTTGATAATACAAATAAATGAGAGTCATTAAGGAAAACTCAACCTATGTTTATGTATTATAACAATAGATTAAATAATATGTTTTAATAGAGTTCTGTCCCATTAGATTAATATCCAGTTTTCTAAAGTTTTCCTATGATTTAATCTTTCATTTCAGAAAGATTCTATATACATGAAAAGGTTATGTGCTTTGAAACCAATACACTAGTACTTTTGTAATATTATCAACCACATGTATTGATTTTGTCCATTCTGAACACAAGAAAATTAGGGTTAAACAAGATAATTTACCTAAGCAGTAATTTTTTATCTTTATAAAGAAATCAATAAACTTTATGTTCTTAAAAAAGAGTTTTAGATCATAGAACAATTGAATGGAAAATGCAGAAATTTCCATGTGTTCCTTCTCCATACACACACACATTGCCTCTCTATCATCATCCTACAATAGAGTGTACATTTGTTATAATCAGCGAAGCAGTAGTGACACTTTGTTACCAAGCTAGGTTATGTGAAGCTTCACTCTTAGTGCTGTACTACTATGTAAGACAGTAACCAGGCAGACATCTCAATGATAGGAATTATATAACTGATAGGAAAGTGTGACCCAACAGAACGGAAAGGCCGCAGCAGAGAGCAGCCACACAGAAACAAGTCCCCAGGGATCTGCATGTGCTGTTGTCACTTACCAAACACCATGAGAATAAAAGATCCAATCAACATGATGACAGTTTGGAGAGTGTCTGTGTAAATCACTGAGGCCAAGCCCCCTGTAGAAAGAAAGAAAAGATACAAAGCATTTTATCCATGTGTACACATCTATTTGTGTTCACCTCTGGGTTTCCCTCCACCCAAACCATCTAAAAGACTCTAAGAAAATATACATAAGCTCCTGGCTGAGCCACAAGCTTGTGTTGGCATATTTATCTCCTCAGTACTTGTGTCTTGTACTGGTTCTCCTACTTTCTTCACCTTGTTCTGAATCTCTTGCAGTGAAATTTCATCTTTATGTGACTGTTAGAATATTAAGTGGGAGAAAGGGTGAAATTTTAATATCATAAAAATTTCCTCTACTAATCCCTCAGTCCCCCTCGTTTAGCATAATTACATGGGCTAAAGAATTAATTGTGCAACAAGACCAATTTTGTTCTGTTGGAAAACAGCATTTCATTCATTAATTGATTATCAAAAATACTCATTGACTTGAATTTGCTGCAGTGCCATATGTAGAAATATGTATACATAAAGTATATGTACATATGAAATATGTGGCCTGAGATATAGCTTAGCAGTATGAGCACCTGCCTGGAAAGCACAAGGTCCTGAATTCGATTCCCAGTACCAAAAAAATGTAGGTATGTAAAATATGTGTATACATATATGAAAAATATATAAGGGAGGGATCATCAGAGATCAGCACAACTGAATAAAATGTGCAGTAGACTCACCAGTGATGGTATAAACAGCAGTGATAGCCAGGAGGATGATGATCGCCAGGTAAAGGTCCAACCCCAAAGCTAGCTTTATAAATATGGCCCCAGCAAATATGTCTGCCTAAAAAGGAAATAGGATGGGGAACAAATACATACATCAGGCCTCTGGATTCTCTGTCCCAATATCCATACACTGTACCCCCTTATTTTCCTAAAAAGATTCCTATTCATGCTTGACAATCTATGCAAAGGTTCCCCAAACAAGATCTTCCATAAAGGCTCAAATAGTGATTTTTTTCCTTCCCCTCTGTATTCTTATAGCAGTTAGTTTACTGCTCCATTGATGCACTTATTAACTGAGGTGATATATCCTGAAAACCTTTTCTATACAATGAGGCCTAGAAAGTCTGAGGGACCATTTTGGTTGTGGTAGAACAAAAGTCTATTCATAAAACTAATATTCTTTTTCATCAATTACGATTTTTATGATTATATGCATTTGTTTTTATTTTGATATGATTGTACACAAGATAGAGTCTGCTCCAAGAGGTGAATGGGATAATTTTTTTCCTCAGTTCTGGAAAAGCTTAAGCTACCAAAGAAATATTTCTATCTTAAAATCTTCAGTAGATTCACCTTCATGCTTCTTTGCTTTCCCAAACTGTCTGTAAGGTAGGTGTTGCTTTAAAATCTTTTTGAGTCTCGTGAAATTGAGGTTCTGGCAGTTTGTCCAGGGTCACAGAGACAGCAAGTGGTAAACTCAAGATACGGATCTGTGCAGTGTGACTCCAAAGCTCACACTGTTAAAACATTTTGTTATACTTCTATCATGGGATTTTACTTAATGAAACATATCAGGAACATTTCAAAGTATGGAGAGCTGTATAATTTTGCGTAGATGGTGGTGGTGGTAGCATAGTTTGTGAACTCCAAGAATCTCTATTAGACAGAATAGATAACCAACGTATCCATGAAGCCCATAAGCAAGACATGAGATGTACATTGTATCAAGATCTGAGAGCAAATAGAAAAAATGTTTTTGAAGGACCTTAGAATTAGACACAGTCAAATATTAAATAAGTATTCATTAGGAGGAAGCGCAGGCTACTTTCAGATCTATAGCTCAAACTGGAAGATGTTTTGCTCTAATGAGTAATGGGTAAATATAAAGTTTTATTTGTAAATTATTATTTTTGTTTTGTTTTGTTTTGGAGATAAGGTTTTGCTATGGTTCCCAGGCTGACATTGAATTCATGGGCTCAAGTGATCTTCCTGCCTTAGTCTGTCAAGTAGTAGATGGGACTATAGACATGTACCATTGCATCTAGGGTTCTTGGTAAGTTCTGAAAGGAGTCCAAATAGTGGAGGTCAAATGAACTCCCAAAAATAACTTCCAAAATTCTCTTTCAGAAAATGACCCTACACCGAGAAGAAATGTCTAGAAATGGAATCAAAGTTTAGCAAAATGGGAAACGTAATATTTGAATATTTATGCATTAATCTTGTAGTGGAGGAAGAAAAGAATACTTTGCAAAAAAATTCTGATACTTTGGTTTATTTTTTGTGACAGGGTGTGAGAGACAATTATGAAACTATTTTAGATGTACTACGGGACTAAACAAACACACCTGTTAGTGATATGGGAAGCCACAGTTCTCAACTATGGAATAAAGAACACATGAATATAGAATCCACAAGGCAATAAAGTATCCTATAGAGATCAATTACAGCTGGAGACATTAATGTGATCTCCATTTCTGGTATGTGAATGATTGCAACAGAATCCATATAAATATGCATATCATATACTTTTCAATTCCATTTGCTGAAAGAGCCAAGAAAAAAAGACAACCCAGCAAACACACTTAGCATCTAGATTCTGAACTCAAATTCCCTTTTTTACTTAAAACAGTCAAGGCTACCCTCAAAAATGGGTGATTCTAGAGATGGAGCATGGTTGGTACAAATGAGTCTGAAACATTTTTTTTTTTTTTTTTGTAGAATTTAAGAAAGTAGTCAACACAATGATGGAAACATGTCACATTATTTACAAAGGAACCATTCAGCAGACCTTCTACTGGACCAATCTGATATAACACGAGCATCAAAATAATTACAAAAAATAATCTTATGCAAAACAATGATAAATAGGAATTTATGAGTCCGTGTCAATCGCAGATAGAGGAGAAGGAAGGATTTTGCCTGCAGTAGCATGCTCAATGATGTCTGGTAACTATGGAGGGATTTCTAGAATCTAAAATCCGTTTGGCAGCTGCCCTCATACAGATCAGATCAAGTAAGAATCATGTAAGAATGCTAAACATAGTAGGAAACTTTGAAGAGGAACAGGTTATTGGAGTATTCAGAGTTTCTCCCCACAGATAGCTTATTAGTTACTAGGAAAAATAATTACATAGTGGAGAATTTCCAGAAATGCAACTATTATGCAAATTGAAAAGGTTGTACTTTTTTGTTTGTTTGTTTTGGTTTTTTTTCTGGTACCGGGAATTGAACTCACGGCCTTGCGCTTGCCAGGCAGGCGCTGTGCTGCTGAGCTAAATCCCCAGCCCAAAGGTTGTACTTTTGAAATGTTACATATATATAAAAATTGTTCACTATTTCCAAAAAAGGATACCACCTATGAAGGTATCACTCATACATATCTGCATCCATTTGCATTTATTGTTGTCTGATTCATACTGATTTACATAAGGATGATTATTTAATCAAAGGATTTTAATTTCTTTTGTTATTCCACTCAATCATTTATATGTTAAAACACACATGATCTTATTACAAACTCCTTCACTTTGTGTTTCTTATATAGTAGAATTAAGGCATCATTGATGGTTTGGAAATTATATGTAAGTAACTTGAATATTATTAATAACTTTTCTATAGTGTAAAATAACATGGCACACAATTTGCCCTTATAACCATTTTAAGTGTACAGGTCACTGGCATTAATTAGACTCCTGAAGATGATGTGGTATTTCTAGTAAAGAGAAATTGTTATGATCCAGGACTTTCTGCAATTGAAACAATTGTCAGTATTTTAATCAATGTTGTAGACAGGATAGTGTTTTCATCAACATTAATTTCCTGATTTTAATATTCACAATATAGTTTTCTAAAAGAATATCAAGGTTTTGAAGAAATACAAACTAAAATATTTAAGGATTACTGCATACCACATCTACAGCTTCAGTATACGTTACTGAAGGTTGAACATCCATATACAAGATGATCTCTTTCCAACCGGGGTGGAGAGAGCTCTGAAAACTCTCCCATTTTAACTTATAATAATCTGTTTAATAAATAACTGCTATAGAATAAGTTATCAGGATGTAAAAGTACACAAACATTTATATCTGAGATTAATCACTATTAACACTGTCCAAAACATAACCTTGCAAACAAGAATGAACTCTTGTTGTGGCATCTTTCCAGCTGACCACAGATCCTGCATGGCAGCACACATATGGTTTGGGCTTTCTTGTACTATTCTATCCCTTCCCTTCTAACCAGGAATCCCCACTCTAGAAGGTCTGATCCCTCAGGGACCCCTTTAACTGCTGCCATTCTACTTGAGTGTGTGTGCATTCTATTTTATTTTGTTTAGAACATGTTTGTGATGTATAATGATTACATCCATTGTGAGGAGCTGGTACATGTACATGATACATCTTAATATTTTTACTTCCTCTTCCTCTCCCCTTCATTTCTTGGTCCCTTTCTCATTTGCAAAAAAAAAAAAAAGTATCTTCTCATTTCCTATTATTTATCTTTTATTTTGTGGTCTCATTTATTTATACTTCGGGTTTCTCATATAAGAGAAACCATGCAATATATAAGATTATGTATGTATAAAATTTGAGTTATTTGAAGAAAAATAGTGCATTCTCTTTAGAAACATAAAAGTATGGAAGTCAGAGCCAGAGAAAAATTGAGATTAGCAAGCCCAATCCATTTGTAAAACATGTCAGCACAAAGCCCCTGACACCAGGAGCTCCTCCGCTTCATCTAAATTTCCTACCCCGAGGACTATTTAAGTTATCTCTGTGATCACTTCCAGTTCCACCTGGCGGGTATCAGACCCTTTCCTTCATCTACACAGAGCATCTCAATTTGTCCACAAACCATTTCAGCTTGTCGGTATATGTGTATGTGTTATCATAAGAGACTAACTATTTCACATAGGATTTTTATCTCTTTAGTTATATGGTAAACTTGGTGAACTCCATGTGCTCAGGAATCTTTATCAGCTTAATGCCACTGTAAAATGCAATCAGTGCTCCTTTACTTTAGGAAGGCTTATGGACATGTCTAAGCAGCTGGTTTACTTGCAACAATTGTTCAGTTACACTGAAAAGCAATAATGAAGGTCAGCTGTTTCTCTCATGAACCTTGAGATAACTGCCTGGACTCTAAACTTGGGGAGGTTATTTTACTAGTCACTTATACATGAGGATAAATGAATTACTCTTTCCCTTTCTTCATGTGCTGCTGAAACTTCAAATTCCTATCTTGTTTTATCACTGATACTCTCCAAGAAATAATTACCTTCACACTTATTTAGGTCACTTGTTTTATATGGACATTCTGATATAGGGTGAATTTGAGAACAGTCAGTATAATAATTGAAGCTACTTTCCTTTTGATTCATGTGTCTGATAATAAAATTGAATGAAAATATAAATCCGGACTGGCTCTGTGAGAGAAGGCAAAGGTAATTGTGTGGTGGAAAACGCAGAAGATAAGAGAAATCTTCCTTTACGATTAAGTAGCAATTTCTTGAATGATAGAAATTTTGTTCTTTCAGTACATCTGCTTTTGTATATCCTTAATGCTCTTGGAGGACAATTTACAGCGTGAGGGTTCTCACGACTTGAAAGTCTACTACTCTGTGACTGGAGTATCTCTGAAACACCATTTCCCCCATGAAGTCTTGGTAGAGAGACCTTAGGGAGTTTAAGGCATTCATACGGTTTGAGCTGGTTAATACTGCCCACAGTTTACACGTGCCACCCTCGGATCTTAGCATGGTGACCCCATCATGCAAACTGTTGAAGTTACTCTTCTGGGAAGCACTTCACTCACAGAAATTCTCAAAGCCACACACATGAAGAGGGAGAGGACGGAGAGGTAGACCTGCAGTCGATTCCCGCCAAACCTCTTCTTGAGATATTCTGGCATAGTCATCACCTGCAGGGAAAAACATCAAGATATGTGTTCTTTTCTTGAGGGAGGGAAGGAAATCTCCTTGGACTGTGTTCTTGCTCTTGCAGGACTGGATTAGATACCAGGGGAGTGTGACCTCCTGCCTTCTATTTGCAGTGCTAGAGTCAGAACTCATGGCCTCATAAGTGCTGGGCAAGTACTACATGACTGAGCTACACCTTCAGCTTGAGAGTGGGTTTTCAGAAAGCAAGTTTGGTTTCCTCTCTTGCCACGTGACTTTTGTCTTCTGCACATGCCCATGTCATGTGATGCCAGCTGCCATCAGGCCCTCACCAAACTGAGCAGATACTGATTCCATGCTTTTGAATCTCCAGAACTGTATGATTCTTTTCTTTATATAGTAGCATCATTTATAGCAGCACAAAATGGATTAAGAGCTGCTGAGAATTTTCCAGAATTAAGAAAAATATTAAACTTCAGATTGAGGGCAACATGAATAAATCTCAACCCTTCAGTGTCTGGCTCATTGGTTTCCTGTGAATCTGTCCAACCCCCTGTCTGTTGAGAACCTCTGGCCCCAATTTCTGCCCCTGGGCATCAGCCACATTGAGCCATTCGACAGGTGCTCACAGAGTGCCCTTCCTGAGGGGGGCTGTCCTGAATTCTCAGATTGGATTGCAAGCCCTTCCCCTGTCTCCTGGGCTGGTTCAAGACAGCACTTGCAAATGAGATGAAAGATTTTCTGTTGTCTTTCTTCTTTGTGAGAAAGTCATGGCTTCTCTTTCACAGAGCCATTCCTGACACTGTTCACAGTGACTAGCAGCAGGTTGGATGCTCAAACAATGTTTCTGAAGAGAAGAATCCTCGTCTTGATAACTCCAGTGCAGATCTCCCTGCTGACCAACCTTTTTACCTCCTTCCCATTCTCTGCTGGGCATGTCCACTTTGGTGTCCTACAGGTACCAGATTTTCAGCCCTTTCCAATGTTGACTCACCCACAAGAGCACTGCCTGCTTGTCATGCCTTGACTGACTTCCCTCTGCACTCACAACTCAGTAATGGAGGCTTTATACATCAGGCCTCTGAAACCCGAACCTCATATTTTCTCATAATGCTTCTCTTCTCACTGTCATCACCTGTAATTTGCCTATGGTAAGATCACTATTGCTTTTTCACTTAGCCTCAGCCACATTCTACACTGGAAGATGCTATGGGCAAGGACTTTGATTTTTCTCACTTGTATATATTTAACAATAGATCTGGTGATAGTCATTTACCCAGGCTTCATAATTGAGTGAATAAATGAATGCTCAACAGATATACAATTTATATTTACATTTTGAAAGAAATGTTGCATTAATCCCCTCAAAATATTCTCCCTCACTTTGAATGCACTAATTCCACTATTATCGTCACTTTCTGAAGCAGTTCTGGAAGTCCTCTTTTGTGAGCGTCTTTACAAGGTGTGATAAAAAATATGGTGAATGTTGCATTTGAGTGGCATCCAATGGAGAGGCAGACTTGTGAACACACTATGATGTGTCCTCAGCTACCTTATTTACCAGATTTGGCACCCTGCAGCTTCTGGCTCTCTCCCAAAGTCAAAACCACTGTGAAAGGTAAACATTTTGAATTGATTCAGGACACTGAGGCAGTCACGACAGCACAACTAAAGACACTCATGAAAGAAGACATCCAGAACTGCTCCTGAAAGTGGCAGCAACATTGGGATGGATAATTGTGATTGAAGTGAAGAGGAGCATTTTCAGGGGTGTCAATGTCAAAGTATCTTTTAATGCAATGATGTTATGGTAATTTAAACACCACATTTTGTATCTGAAAGGTTTTCAAAGAACACTTGTGGATACTCACCCCTGCCTTGATGTAGATGGGGACAAAGAACCACCCTAGAACCAGCAATAGCAGCAAGGACTACAAGAGACCAAGAAGAATGTAAAGTTAAAGAGGCTTGGCTTGAAGGCCTCATTATTTCATGACCTATGAGGCTGAAAAGAAAAAAAACCATAAACCTTTGTTCAGACCTAGTCCTATTTAACAATTATGATCACCAGAACTTCGTGTTCCTTTCCCCTGTCTCTGTGATTCAGAAGCTGCCATTTCTGGGGCTTGGAATGTGATGAAAGATGTGTGGTAAAAGAAGATGAAAGCAATCTGAGTTTAGCTGGGCTACTGGAAGATCACAAAAACTTTGCCAAAGGAATACATGGTGAATGGTAAGAATTATTATATGGATTTCAAGCCATGAGAAATACATTTGGAAACAGAAGAGTATTCCTAGCACCATCTAAGTTTTGCCAAATAGAAAAATAATAACAATGCAATCGAGCATTAAATGTAAGTTTTACAAAGGTGTATTACTTATGTTGTTGCAGCAACTGGTGAGGCAAGTGAGATAAACACAGTTATTATTGCTCATATAGGTGGAACTTGAGCCTTATGGACATTAAGGAAGCCCAAGGTCAAAGGTAAAAGAGGCTCAGCAGCAGAGTTATCTGGAACCTGGCAATTTCATGCACTCATTAGGCTATAGGTCATTCTGTTCATGCCTCTGGAGGCTGGCTTCATTTTGAAGTCCGTGAACCTGTCAAAACAAACCTCTAGTAATAAGGCTTATCTGGAGTACACTGATACTATTGAAATAAGGGCAGAGGAAAAACTCTCAACACAGAAAGGGCAAAGACCTTCCACATGAGGAAGGTCAAAGGCATTTGTGAGTCAAGGTCAAGTGCTGAGACCATCCAGGAATAGTCTGTTTAAACCATCTCGATGAGCTAACTTTCTTTCACACAAACTTCTTCCTGTCACCAACAGGCCTATGCCAAATGTACGTGAAACACTAGAAAGGACAACAGAAAAGAACAGAGAACCTCAGGCTTCTCATGAACCATTTACGGTATGTTCAACACATGGCCAGTTATGTGTTAGATGTAAGGTAGTATGAGTAAAAGAGAGGACATGGTGTCTGTCCTTAAGGAATTTAAGGTCTGATTATGTGAACACAGGTCCTACTGGTGAAATAATAAAACAATTCAAAGTTCCACCACAGTCTTGTAAATTCTACTTACTATTAAAAAATGTACTCCTCACTCTTCTGTCGCTTCCCTGGTCAGGCCTCACTTGGACAATTTTACCCATCCTTCTGGCATCAGCACCAAGAATCTTCGTTGATATGTTCTGGGCCTAACCCATTGTTCTGTGATGAACGTCCCTTGTGAAATCTCTCAGTACTCGAAGAGTGCTTCTTGTACTTCCTTAGCCTGCAGAAAGTGTATGTTTGTCTACCAACTGGAATCTAAGCCTTTCAGATAAAGTACCCTTTCAGATAAAAGTTTTTTCTTTTTAAAAAATTCTTCACTTCTAGTTCAGGGCTGGGTAAAATGTTACATCCCAGAGAGGAGACAAAAGTGAGAGCTGAAATGGTTAAAGAGAACAAGGGAGAATGGGGATTGAATCATGCAGAAATGACATTCCTGGTAGGAATAACTACATAAGAAAAAGCTCAGATGTAAGTCACAATATGACTGGAATGGCTGAGGAAGAATAGGCCTGCAGAGGTGCTGAAGGTCAAAGAGTGCACGAGAAGGGAAAATAAAAATCAAACCAAAGAGCAGTGCAACCTATATGGACTCCAACAAAAACCTTGTGTATGGTTTCATTAAACCATCTGGATAGGGTCTGATTTACTTACATGAGATTCAAATGCTGTAACAGCAATTCCTGAAGCTGCTCCTGTTCCAGCCAAGCCCACAAAGTGACCACTGCCGATATTACTGGCAAAGAGGGATGCACCCATCTGAAATGCCAGAGAAAAGACTATGGTTAGAATAAAGAGATCCAAATCAGACTTCTAGAGAGCAAATAGATATTGCGATATTCCAATCAGTGCTTGTTAGAGCAGGAATCAGCAAACTGTGGTTCATGGATTAAATCTAGCCTGTCACCAGTTTTTGGGTAGTATAGTTTTTGAAAGGTTCAAAAATATAAAGGATATTTTGTAAAATGTGAAAATAAGGAATGAAAAGAAATGTGAACATTAGAGTCCATAGTTACATTTTTTATTAGAATACAGCCATGCTCTTGGTTTAATATGTTGACTATGTGTACTTTTCTGCTACAACGGTAGGGTTTTGTGGTTCCAATAGCCTCTGCAGTCCATAGACAGTAAAATACTTACAAATTTGTCTTTCACAGAAAAAACTTGCTGTACCTTGCATTGGTATACGTATTTTCCTACAAGATTTGAGTTGAGCATGTCTTTGTCCCAAACTCCTAGACTTCTATCAGCCCTTGTCTCTTGAATCAGCAACAAGGAACCAAAAGTTGGAGGGAATCACTCTCTATGTACCAGTCATTAACTGTTCTTATTAATGTTCTTTTTAGAACCTTATCTGCTATTCTTAAGATTCAAAGAAGAAAAAAGTTCTCTGGAATTGGTCCAGTTCTGACACAGTAGTATTGGTGTTAGAGCTTGAAGTGTTTTTTCTACTTCTACCCTTTTAGTCCTCTGTAAAATCACTTTTTCTATTCAAATATTTGGAGGCAGAAAGGGAATTGAGTTGATTTGAGGCTTTGGGTATGGCTGAGACTTGTATGTTTCACAAAACAGCATTAAGAGCAATTTCTGAATGGTTGCATCAAATGAAGTCCTATTTTTGAACTTGTAATTGGTTTTCTCCAATTACCCTGGCAAGACCATTTTCCAATCTCCATTTACTTTCATACTATTTAGATGAGCTAGAAAATCTGTGAAGAAAGCATTTATTTAGAACCCACTGTACACCCAACACAATTCTGATATTCTCTAGGTTCATAGAGGATTACTGCAATGGAAATCCAGCCAAAGGGGCCAAACATCAAAATTCAGAAAGGAGAATACCTACTAGTCAAGCATCAAAGAGGTTTCACTATTAACATTACAGGGCATATGACTCACTGTCTATAAGTGCATAGAGCATAAGAACTAGACAGACATCCAGGGCAGGGCTGGTGTGATCCAGGAGCAGGCGGGACATTGAAGAAGTAGAGCAGAGAGGGAAGGCAAGCCTGACAAAAGGAGCAGGATTAGCACAGGGTTGGGAGCAAGGATGGAATGGCTTCTACTAAGAAGCCAAGGCAGAAAATTTTTGATGAAGATCAAGAGAAAAGAATGGAAGTAGAGCTGAACTGTGGGTCCCCAAATAGAAGACTAAACCTGCTCTCATTTGATAACATTATGATTTTTCTTAATTATAGGTCATGAAGACATGAAGTGAGGGATTTAGGAAAAGAGATACCAGCAAGCGGGCAATAATTCCATATCAGAAGTGATCAATATCTCTAATGTTTTTTATTCAGGTTTAAATACACACACACACACACACACACACACACACAGAGAGAGAGAGAGAGAGAGAGAGAGAGAGAGAGAGAGAGAGAGAGAGAGAGAGAGAGAGAGAGAGAGAGAGAGAGAGAGAGGAAATTTATCTCCAGGAAATATCCTACTTACTGGCCACCAGGTCGTATCTCGACCAGCCAAGAAGAAACCACCAATTGTGCCTCGGTTGGTCTTCAGCATTGCCTGAGCCAAAAGAAATATATATGAGGCTCAAATAACAGGGTTCATTCAAGATTCCAAACTCCCCAGCTACCCTGGCCAAGTTACTGACATTGGTGATTTTTTTTGCTACTTCTACACAGAGACATGTTTTCTTAGAAACTGTGATACAGCATCAATTTTTTAAAATTTTAAAGATAATAATAAAAAAGAACAATAGCAAAAGATGACATGATACTCTACAGAAGACTCCAAAAACTCCACCAAAAGGCTTATAGATTTAATAACCAAATTCAGTAGCATAGCTGGATACAAAGTCAACACTCAAAAATCAATAGCATTCCTGTACATAAATAACAAACTGCTGAGAGAGAAATTTTATATATCATCAATTTTTAATAGACTTGGAAATCGTAGTTTTATAAAAATTCAGAACTGGAAGGACTTCAAGAAATCCCATAACATAAATGATTTAAATGTCCGAATCACCAAGTCAGAAAATGAGTAAATAGTAAGGGAAAATAAATGAAAAGAAGCAATAAAAATAAATTTGTGTTCATTATGTGCAGTGCTGGAGGTGCCAAAAAGAACAATTCTGTAATTCCTAGTGCTATTTCTTTTCAACTGTTGAGGTTGTTAAGAAAATACATTCACTTGTAATAAGCATTATTTATGTCATGCATAAGTAAATGATTCATAAAGAAAGACACTTGTGAAATCTGTTAATGTTAAATTTGCCATGCCATGCCCCTCCCACCCTAAGATACTTTCCCCCAGCCATCATCTCCACCCTGATCCCTACTGGGCTCTCACATACCCACAGCCCGACAATCATCACCACCACAAAGTAGATGACAATAACAGAGATGTCAGCAGGATTTTGGATGCGCTGTGACAATGCAGGCAGCTCTAGGATTCCACCTGTGGTGCTGGGGCTTACTGTGCTGGCCATGGCTGCAGAGGATGTAGTCCCCATCCCAAGTGTGGTCCCTTCTTTATATAAGTGTTGGGTTAATGATCAGCCACTGACTGCTGGGGCAAAATATCAGAGCTATCTCCTATGCATTGGGACCTTTAAACCTCTCCACTTAATCTAGGCTCCGAAACCCTGGCTTTTCAGTGGTCAGCACTGGCCTTAGAAGAATAGTACAGTGTGAGAATTACATAGATAGATAGATAGATAGATAGATAGATAAGGAGGCCAGAAATTGTGTGAGACTTAGAAATGGAAAGGGGTTATCACTGAGAGGAAAGACAAGATATTTGAGGAGAACTGACAAGGTTAGGGAGAGATAAATGGAAACAAGATGGAGAAAAGTAGGGTTGAGTATAGAGCTCAGTGATAAAGACCTTGACTAACATGTACAAGACCCTGGGCTCAATGCTCAGTACCATGAAAATGAAAGCAAAAACAAATAAAGAGGAGAAGCACAGAGATGAAGGGGCTGTGACAGAGTTAGGTGGAACAGAAGGAGATGGTTCATTATTAGAAAAGAGTCTCAGTACAAAGTTATTTCCCTTGAAAGAAAGATTAATTATTTATTTCATGAGCTCATATCCCCATAAGCACAAGTAATCTGAGTATATTTACATGACACTTCAGGACTTGGACAGCTCAGGCAAGAAGGAGAAGCAGCTCTGTTAGCACCACAGGTAAAGAGATGACGGCAGAACTTTGGGGAGGGTTGGGCCAGAGATTTATAAAAATGTAGTACAAGTAGATATTGATAAAGAAAATGTAAGAAGCATTCATGACTTCTATTAAAAAATAAAATCTTCATAATGAAATAATTAGAGAACAACAATAGTTACTGGTCTATGTGTCATGATACTAAAAGAATGACCAAAATGTTACTCACAGTAGAAGTCATAGAAAAAAGACTCTTGCAAAGAAGAAAAGAACAAATGAAAGGACAAATTTCTTTTCAATGAACAAAAAGAAACTAGTGGTATAAATGAAACTTATTTGCATATACCCTAAAATATTTTTGAAACAATGACATAGATAATTTGGTGAATTATCTGAACTTTTCCCTACTTCCTATTTACCTTCTATTTTGCTATTATACATAGTATCTCATATATATAATTTACTTATATAAAAGAAACCGTCCAATAATTTGTGTGTCTAACTTATTTCACCTTACATTATGTTTTCAAGTTGCATCCATTTGCTTACAAATGTCTCAAATTTATCTTTCTTTACTGCAGAGTAGTACTTCATTGTACACGAATACTACATTTTCTTTATTCATTCTGTTGATGGGCATATATGCTATTTCCAAGATCTAGCTATTGTAAACTGGACAGCTATAAAGTGGTATGTATGTATCCCTATAATGTGATTACTTTGACTGTCTTGGGAAGATATCTAGAAAGGAGACTGCTGGGTCAAAAGGAATTTCTTTACAACCTTATTTCTTAATTTTAAGGAGAATAAAAAAATAAAAATGATACAAGATTACCAGATATAGGTATACAAGATTGATCAAACAATTAAACATTAGCTGTTCCTTTCAATAAGCCAATAGAAATTAGTAGTACAATTATCTTAGCTATCTTATGTGTGTGTGTATATATATTCCCAATCTTTCTTGATTTTTTTTCTCCTTTCCCTCATCCCAGTTGTTTTTTCCTATTGAGCAGTTTCTTTCCCCTTCACAATATCTATTGTATCTTTCAGTTTTATTTACTTTTTCAGGTTCTTAAACTAGGGAGACAATATGGTGTTTACAAATGAGGATCTGATTTATTTCACTTATGAATATGGTCTCTAGTTACATCTATTTACCTATAAAAGCCTCGAGTTAATCTTTTTTATAGCTGAGTAATACTCCATTGCATAAAAATACCACATCTTTCTCATTCATTCCTCAGTTGATGGGCATTTGTGTTATTTCCAAGATTTAGCTATTACAAATTGTACTGCTATAAACATGGGTGCACATATATGGCTGTGAAATGACATTTTTAATTCTTCTAAGAAAATACACAGAAGAGGAACAACTGAGTCAAATGACACCTCTAATCCTAGTTTTTTGAGGAATCTCCACACTGATTTCCACAGTGGTTTTACCAGCCGACACTTCCACCAACAGTGGAGAAGTGTTCCTGTTCCCCACAGCCCT